TGGAAATGTAATATGGATTTGGATTGGAAAATCTTCTATTTCTAAATCATTAAAAGAATATGTACATGATGCAATGGTATTTTTGTTCACTCATCCTGCTGGTCGAGATCGAAATACAATAATTTCTATAATTAAACAAGGTATGATAAATTTATTTATAAAATGAAAAAAAATAAATTTTATTTCACTTTTTTCAGGATTGGAACCTTCAACATTTATTGGACTATTCAATAATTGGAACTATAATTTATTGAGAGAATACAAATCATTTGAAATATTTTGCACACTCTTACAAGATAAAAAATTATTACCGAAAATACAAACATTAACAAAATCATCGAGCGACTTTGATAATTATGTGAAGTATCCTCTTTCTATCCTGAAAGATGATCCGGAAAATTTACCATCTGGTGTTGATGTTGCTCATAAAGAAATGCATCTTACTTTCGATAATTTTATTGCAATTTTTAAAATGGAACCAAATGAATTTATAAAACTTCCTACTTGGAAAAAACAAAGACTAAAACAATCTGCAGGACTTTTTTAAAATTTCGTGTTCTAATTTTTATTATAATTTTGTACTATAATTAATATAAAGTTAAAATAAAAAAATACTCCTTATATATATTTATTTATTTCTAATGTTTGAAATTAAATTTATCAATTCAAAAAATATACAATTTTGTATTTAAGTATTTTGGTTAAGACTTTTTTATTGAAAATTCATATATATCCAAATTTAAATTTAACATTGATTGATATACATTTTAAGATGAAGTATCCATTGGTTCTACTTCAATTCTACGCACAGTTTCTCCTTCGATAATTATAGGATGAACCGTTTTGTTAAGTACTGCGGTAGTACCACGCTTATATCGATACGATATATTTCGTTGCCCTTTAACATTAGCAACATCATAAGGTCGTAAATAATCAACAGAACCTTTACGTATAACACACAAATCTACATTAGATCCAGAAGCTAAATCATTAAATACACCAGCACGAATAGCATCTGCTACCAATTCTTTAGCTTCCTCTTCCTAGAAATATTTTAAAATGAAATATAAATATTATAATATAAATATATAAAAATATAAAACATTCTCACTGTCATATCAGGTTTCCATCTACTTTCAAACACAGCCATTGCAGCTAATGATCCTGTACCCATGCTAGTATACATATGTCTATCTGAAGATCCATGAGGATAAATACAATATAAATGTGGTCCATCTAAATCAACACCTCCTAATATTAAAGCTGCTCCAATATGACCTTGATAACGAAATAATAATTGCTTTATCATAGCATTTGCAGTACAAACTGGTACCATACGATTAGTATTTAAACGATGTAATTCTAATTGACTGGATATCATTTGAGTTGTCATTTCAGTATCAGCAGCAGTTCCAGCACCACAACAACTTAAAAAATAATTATTAGATTATTCTATTAATTACTAAATTATAATAATAAATAATATTATTTATATACATAGAATAGTTAAAAATATTAATTTTTTAAAATATACTCACTACATATTTTCAGCAAGATAATGAATTTTACTACAATTTTTATCAGCTACTATAGTATTTTCTGTTGATCTTGTATCACCACCAAGAACAATCCCATCTTTATAAACAATTCCAGCAATTGTTGTTCCTGTTTTAACAGCTTTAGGTGCTTGAAATCCTTTCTTTATCAGAAAATTATTTCTGAAAGAAATGTATTTAAATGAATTTCATAGCACTTCATGTTTTTAGAAAACTTATAAGATTTATTAAAAAGAAAAATATTATTAAATAATGACGCAGCAATATTAACCTATGAGGTTATATGCATCAAAAATTACTTTTTATTTTTTTACTTTTAAGCAAATATTAAAAATTTTATTAACATTGTAACTTTAATATAATAAATTACCGTTGGCAAAGATCAAAAGAAAATCCGGGCGCAGGAATTTCAGGTACAAGTACCGAAGACATGATATTCCAAACTTAAACTTCTAACACCACCAAAAGAAACGGAATAATGAAAAGCATTTCGTAAATGTTGACATTTACCAGTAGATGGCAGTTTTGAGGAAAAACAATACTCGTATTATATATATTCTTCTATTTTATATATGTATTTTTTTTTATACAATTAAATTGATATCAATAAATATAATTAATAATTATTAAATTTATTAAAATATAAGAAAATGTTCATGAAATAAAATTTAAAACAAAAATGTAAATTATTTAGTTGTAAAGATTTAAAAAGATGCAACATTATAAAAAAATTAAAAACATATAAATTATCATATTTTTACATCAATAGTGAACAACGTACAAATTATTTCAAACATATTAATTATAATATAAAAATATAATATAGAATTACATGCTGCAATCTTGACAATTCATTTTAAAATATTCATTACTTGTTAAGTAAATGCAATATACTCTTTTAAGATTTATAAAAAATATAAAAAGACACCTAATTGTTTAAATAATATCTATAAACAAGTAATGTCATTAATGATTTCTGCCATCATATTTTTGTCTTGTAACGTTGCATCTAATTCTTCTTGATCCCATTCCAAATTTATTTTTGCCAAACGAGATTCTTTTTTTCTCATTAATTTTAAGATACCTCTGGTTTCTATCAATGAACATAAATTATAAAATTCAGACGCATCAACAGCGTGAATATTCCGTTTCTTACATACTTTTTTGTATACTTCATGCAACTGAAATATAATTATCACAATATTAAAATTTCTAATCAAATAATTATTTAAATTATTTAAATTATATTATACTTACTCTTCCCACTGTTATGTCTTTATTTCGCCCTTTATTTAAAATAAGCAAGAGGGAACATAATAATAATTTTTGTTGTAAAGGAAATGTACTTTCTTCCTTTTCAATATTTTGAGATCCGCCATAAACACCATTTAGAACTGTGATAACATCTTTCAAATCTACTTGCTGATCTATTGTAGTCTGTTGTTTTTTAGTCATATTTATTTCTAAAAAAATTTTTTTAAAAGAAATTAATCTTTGTAAAAAATAGCATTTTATTTTTTTATTTTTATTTCACTTTTATACATACCATTAGATGGTTGTAAAATTTGTGCTAATTTATGAGATTCTGTAAGCTCTATTACTCTTCTACTGATATCTAATGCTCTTCTAATATCACCAGAAACAGCAGCAACTTTTCCAGATAACATATGTATTGCAGTTTTAGTGAATAAATCAGATGCTTTTGCTTCATTTAATCTTTCACATATTATATTATATATTTCTTGTTTTGTATATGGAGAAAAATGAATCAATGTTGGCTTTAATTCACATCTGGTTTGTAATCTAGGTAATATTCTATCTGTTAAATCCAAAGCATTGGCAATACCAATTAAAATTAATTTTGAATTATCTATTGATGGCCATTCAAAGATAGAATATAAAACAGATTGTTTTTTACTTTCTAATTGATCTATTTCATCTAAAATTAGTAACAACATTTTATGACTTGAAATTAAATATTTTTCAATAACTACTTTACTGTTTCTTCCAGATTTTGATGTAGATAAACCTAATTCTTGACTAATTTTTGCATAAATTGTAGCAGCAGATTTCATAGTTGTACAATTGATATAAACTATATTAAATTTTGATTTGAATTCAACTTTTGATATAAGCTTTGAAAGACATGCTGTTTTTCCAGTACCAGGTGGTCCTGATACATATAAAGAACCTGATGTTTTATTTTTCAAATGTTCTTCTATAAATTCCTCTAACTTTTGTAATTCATTTTCTCTACCAGGTAAACTTTGAGGTACTGAACTATGTAAAGCTTTACGAGCTTTACGATATATTTCTGATCCAAACAATCTTTTAGGAGATAATTTTTCTTCTTTATCAGGAGAAGTTATCAAATTTAATTTATCAAAAAGAGTAGAAGGTGTAGATGGAGATGTTAATGAAAATGATTTATCCACTCTTCTTTGTTTTGGAGGAGTAGAATCATTACCTTCTGAAAAAATATATTAAAAAACATATCATTTCTAACTTTATAAAATATATAATTATTAAAAACATTTAAAATATTTAAAAAACATTTATATAAAATTAATTTTTTTTTTTTACATACCATCAGATTCATTTGACTTTTTTATATGTTGAGGAGTTTGTATACTGATTGTATTATCATGGACATTTATATTATTCTTTATTATATTTTCTATATCTGAATCTGAATCTGACTCTGATTCACTACTACTTAATGTAATAACTTTTTTCACAGTCGGTGTATATTTATAAGAAGAATCTCTAATGGTTGCATTAGTAAAATCTTCCTTTGTTATAGTATGTTTATTTCCATAAAACGAACATTTCTTTCGTACATTAAATGAAATTGTCGTTTGTATACTTGTCATTTTTATTTAAATTACTGACATAAAATTTTTTACACAATTTTATTTTTTCTGTAACACTAACACTAATTTTTGTTTAATGTAAAATATTTGACATTTTTTTCTTATTATTCCTTAACCTTTTATAAAAAGAAAAACATTATTTGACAATTTTCTCAAAATCTGAATTAAATTACACATTCATTAATATTATTTTGTTAATTTCAATCCATAAAATGAATTTTTGAATTAAATATTTTATTATTTTATTAATAAAGCACTTTCAAAAGTTTTTCAAATACTAATATTATAACTTAAATACTAATATTGTAGAATTAGTGCATCCTCAAGTTTTTTGTAGGAAAAACTTTAAACGCGGGAAAATAAAGACATATAAAAAGGAAACGGATAAACGTAAATTCCCGCGTAAAAACAAATATTTAAAAATACAAAATATTATTTTTAAAAAATATATAGATATATTTATAAAAAATATAAGAAAAAATATTATATTTATATAAATTGTAAGTTTAAATTAATTAAATGAAATAATGATAATATATATATTTATAAAATTGTTTATTTTAATTTATATATAAAATATCTGTACAAAATTTCTTAGCCCTCTAGAGGCAAATATAGAAACTAAAGAAAATAATGTTTCCATGATCTAAAGAAGCAAACGTTCCTCTTCCATACTGGCATTAAAGCGTAAAAGAAGTTGTTCCCATTCCGTGAAAATCAAGAAATTCTAGATTAATCCCGAAACTTTAAAGCTATAAAATGAGAGCAAAGGTAAGATGATATTAATATTTTCTGTTAATTTCAATATTTTTTCTAACAAATTTATGATTACATATTTTTGAAATTTTAAAATATATTTCTTCCAAATTATCATTATACTATATTTATTTAATAAATTTTTAAAATATATTTATGATATAAAAAAGAATAAAATTAATAAAATAAATACTAAGATACATAAATATAATTAGAAAATTTTCAATTTTCAGTGGCGAAAAAAGAGAATGCGCAGGTTAAAACGTAAAAGGAGGAAGATGCGTGCAAGATCTAAATAAATTTTATATATAACCTCCGTAAGTATATATAATTTTAAAAATATTAATTAATATAAATTTATTAAAAAAAATTTTCCATATTTCATATATAAATATCCAGATTTCATATGTGACACAAAATTTTTTTATTAAAATAAGTTTTAATTTTTGTTTCAGTTATAAGAATAACATCACCAAGATCAGCATGAAAGAATTGTACTAATTGAACTATCAATACAAATAATTTTTGTTATTCAAAAAATTCATTTGTGTACATTTCTTGTACAATTTAATAAAATAACCGTTTTAATAATTAAAAATCTTTTTTTTTAACCTTATCTTTTTTCAAATAAGTTAATAATGATTAAATATAAAAGCTATGGTATTGATATGCTTAAAGTTGAAATAACCAAAGTCTAGTAACCTAATTTTATACAGACTAATTTTATGCAGACTAACATGCGGACTCTATTCTCAAATTTTTTACGAACAAAAAAATTATTTTATGAATATTCTAAATTTTGTGCAAATAATATAATATATTCTCAAATAAAACAAGTAACAAAGTTTTCAAATGATAGTCAAAAACAATTTAACAGTGCTAAAAATGTAGAAAGCGATTCACATAACCTAATCGGCTCAATTAATACTACTCATAAAATTTTTGAAGATAAAAATACAGAAATTATTTTTGATATTAGTGAAAGACAAGAAAAAGTTAATTTAGAAGATTTAATAATTGAAGAACATCATGATCCTTATGAAGGAATAAATTTAGAACGTAAGTAAAAATGAATTTATATTCGTATGATTTTTTTAAATAATTAATAATAATTACTTTTCTTATGAAAGATATTAATGAAATTATTTATTAGGTGGAAAAAGTGGTGTTTTTGAAATAGAAGATCTTGTATCATTATTACAAAAAGATAATGTTAAAAATATTTTTGTTGCTTCAATGTCTTCTGAATTATCATATGCTGATTACATAGTTATAGTCACAGGTAGATCAAATAAGCATATGAAAGCACTTGCTTCTTTTGTTCGAAAAGTATATAAATTGAAAAAACATAAAACAGATATATTGGTAAAAATTGAAGGGAAAAATTCAAAAGATTGGATAGCTTTAGATCTAGGTATATTTTTTATTTATATTTTTTTATTTATTTATTTTTTATTTATATTTCAGATAATTTATTATATTCTTAGAATAATTAAATTAAAATATTTCTTTTATTTTTAGGAAATATTATATTGCATATTTTTTCACATTCTGCTAGATTAGAATATGATTTAGAAACATTATGGTCAGTTGGACCTGATTATGATGATAAAAATAAAAATATTACTGAAGATATTATGGAACAATATAATGAATTTTTATCTGATTTAGAACCAATTGAAAATAATAATGAAAATGGAAAATGTAAAACATAAAAAATGATAATTACAATAATCATATAAACGATAAATATTATCTTTATTAAAATACTATTTTTATTAAATTATTAAATTATTTGTATTAAATCATTTTTTATTAAATTCCACATAAAAATATAAAATTTTAAAACAATTATCGTACAACAGTTTTTAAAACGTACATAAGATCAATGTCTCCTGTATCCCCCCTCTTCTTCCAATTCCCTCTTCGCGCTTTATGATTATGGTTCCTGAAGTAATACACCATTCGCTACGCGTCCATATCTGAAGACGCTTTATCAAAAACTAGCGAAATGGAATCTTATCGAATTATCAATTTTATTTTATACGCTGACTAATAATTCCAGTATATACGCATTTATAGCTGCGTGAAACAATTGTACATGTAATTTTAAATCTTGTATCAACAAAACAAATTGATTAGAATAACTTGTTCTATTTTATTTAACAAATATTATCGACATTTGTATATTTGTATTATATGAAATAAAAAATTTTATAGCAATTTAAATTTACATTTACATATCTGATTTTTTAGTAAAAGATTCATTTAATCAAATTTTTGAAAAAGAATATTCTTGCTCTTACATAAAAGTGTAATTGATTTTCAACTATCACATTCATAGGTAATGTATATAAATTTTATAAATATTAAAATTTTTCAGTTAAAAACAAATTTATCGTTATTTGAACATTATTAATTGAAAATTTTAGATTCTTTTATAAGATAAGTGAAAAATAATTTAAAGTATTTTTAATTTAATATTATCATATTATAAAACTTAATATTGCTAATTACATAAATTTTATTTTAAGGTATTTAATCAACATTTTTAAAAAAGATATATAAAAAGAAAGAAAAATATGAATAAATAAAAAAAATTATTTAATCTCAGAAAATGGCAAACAATTTAAATTCAATTTGTGAAGAAAAATCTACACGATTTTTACAAATTCCTTTAAAATCAACTGAACAGATTTATTTAATCTTCTTAATTCCAACACTGATTGCTTGTATAGTATATATAATTCATTTTTCTGCTGATTTAGTAGTTGCTATTCAACATTTTAAAGAAAATAATATAATATGGGCTTGTTGTACCATTACTTTCATGTATGCACCTGCAATTGCATATTTTATGTTAACTGTTTCAAGACCAGATTGGTGGATGTCAAATGATGATAAATTAACAAAGAGTATCTTTTATTGGTTTTGCCTTCAATTTTGTCAATTGGTGGGCTTTGTTCTTTTTGCTCTTTATAGGTATTAATATTTTTTATTTAAAATTAATAATAATATCAATAATTTTCATTAATGTAATTTCTAATTTTTTCTAGGTATGCAAGTCTTATAGTATTATGTATTGAAGCTATTATTTTAACTGGAAAAGAAAGAACAGAGACTTTAAATGTAGCAGCTACACCTGCAGCTATAGAATTATACTTTTTTTTACAAGCATGGTTTCAAGCAGCTCCTCAAGCTCTTTTTCAAACACATTTACTTTTTCGTGAAACATCATTTCATCAGAGTCATCAATCTGGTATAATATTAATTATTATAAAATGTACAATATAATTCTAACTAAACTAAAAATATGAAACTATTAAAAAATTCTTTTTATAGTAGTTGTAAAGGTGCTTTCTATTAGTATGTCTATCATAATACTTGCTATTCAAACTACCTCATTTCAAAGATTTGAAAGTCAACGTATTAATGGTAGAAAATTACCATGGGCAATGTGGTTAAAAAAATATTGTGTTCAGGTATTTTAATATAAAATATTATATAATTATGCTTATAATATATTAAAGTAGTTCATTCTTCTAAAATATTTATTTAAATTTTATAATTAGGAATTTTGTGATTTTGAAGAAAGAGCTCCTTTAAAATTATCAAATGTAAAAAAAAATAATACTTTAGAGAATTCTCTAGAACAAAAAGAATCTATACAAGTTCAACATGAAGATAAAGAGCAATGTGATCATATTTCTCTTGATCGTCAAGTATCTGTAACACCTCCTTTACCACCTAAAAATGTATATATTACACCACCTCCAACGCCTTTACGTGGAATTACTACAGTTATACCTTTGCCTATACCAGATGTACCAGCTCCACCAAGACCAGATTCTATTTGTACAGTTGCAGAAAACTCGGAATCTGAAAAATCATATATTACTAAAAAAGTATCTATTGCAGCAACAAAAAAAAATAATACCATACAAAATTTAAAAGTTCCTCAACGAAAATATTCAACAAAAGGTTTAGAAGAAGATGATCCTATAGGAAAATTTTTAAGTTTTTTATGGTGGTTTTTTTTTATTCTAGCACGGATACTTACTATTGCTATATTCTATGAATTTTTTCCATTTTACTTATCCATTGTGCTTAGTTTACATTATGGTATTATGTTAATATATCTTTTTTATTATACAAAATATTATGACATTATTACTTTTTTTCTTAATCTGTGGTTAGGATTAGTGTATATAATTAGTTTAATTGAATACAGAATTAAATTTAAATATGCAGATAAATGGGTACTACCATATTACATTTTTGTATTAATGCAAAATATGTTTTTAACATTATCTTGGTATTTCTATTCAGATTGGGATGGATTTTGGTATACTTATGTATTTTATGTAATATTTGGAAGTATGACATTATGTATTTTATCAACTATAATTTATTGTGTTTTATTTAAACCAAAGAAACATAGGATATATACAAGCTGACAAATACATAAAACTTTTTCATGGTAAAATATTCATTAAAATGTGATTTTATAAATGCTTTAATTTTTATATATTATATGAACATGATTTTGTTTCATATTTATACAAATTATTAAGTATGAAATAGATTTATTAAAAACCTATTGATGAACGAAACAATGAAATAATTGACACAATTAAAATTTATATAATTACAATTTTTTAAAATTTGTAAAACAAATTAAGGAATTAATAATTAGATGATACATTAAAAATATATTTATCATACCTTATAAATTAGATAACTATATTTATATGAAACATTTATAGAAAAATCTATTTAAAAAATTTTTACAAATAGTTACTAGATATGGCAGCATATTCTTTTATCTATGAATTTTATATAATGTTATTTACACTATGTATTTATATACAGAAATACATTATTGTCCCAAAAATAAGCAACAGTCTTCTAGCTCAAAATAAATAAATCACTATTTTCACATCTTTATTTGAAGCCATTTGTAGAAAATGAAAAATCTAAAAATGAGTGAGAGACCCATAAAAACAAAAAATCATAAATTTTTACGATCGAATGAATAGTATTATATAATAAAAGAATAGAATATGTATAATACTTTCTTACTCTGGCAATTTCTTTGTGAATATATACATATTCTGAAATAAAAATAAGTTTATTCGACCAACCAATTGCTCATTATATATTACATATATATATATATAAAATATTAAAATAATCATTATAGAATAAAGAAATATGACACTAAATTAGTAAATTGAAGCATATTTTATTCATACGATTTTATATCTATTCAGAATCGCCAAAGTGAGAAGATATATCATGTTCTGTTTTTTTTTAAATAATAATTTTTAAATATTTATTACTCGATCGAATTACTTTATGATTTACTACTATCTCGAGATTCCTTTGAGAATAAAAGCAAATTTGAAGAGTATTAATATACTTGATTATAATAAACAATTGACTGGTCCCAAATAATTTGCTTATTTCGGAACAATATTGCATACTTGATCCCGAGCGACTTACTTATTTCGGAACAATACTGCAATAATATGAATACTTATTAGTATTAAAATATGTATATTATGTATTTTCATCTTTAAAATTTTATATATTAAATTTAAATACTTATCATTTTATATAGAATCGATATTTATTTTCACGATATTCGTGACGTAAACTAAAAAATATATAAAATAGATCACATTATTTTGTATTTAATTGCTTAGCCTTAGCAGAAAATTACTAATTACTATATAAAATATAATAAGATAATATCAATGAACAAATATTAATAAATGTAATTTGATAAAAAATATATGATCCCTTATACATTCATTCATGTATATTCACATTGTCTACTTACACCCAATCCTTAATCTATAAAATATTTTTTTCATACATGTATATTAGAATCTCTATGAAGATTTCCTAATTGTGCTTCAAATAAAATATCATTTAATAATTTTTCAGCTATAATTCTTTGATCTAATCTCATATTTCTAAGTTTTGCTGCAACATTTCTTCCAATTGCATCAAACTCATCTTCCATTACAAATGAATTATTATGTGATATTTTTAAGAGATCAGAACATTCAGCTTCTTCTAATTTACGTCTACGAATTATTGGACTTTCAGACCATTCACTAGACTGATCATATGCTTCTTCATTTCCTGGTTGCCACTCATCCTAAATAAATATAAGTTCTTAAATTTAGAAAGTTTATCTATTAACTATTTTAATTTTTAAAAATTTTAATTCTTCTTGTTATATAAAATTAATATACTTACTGTTTTGTAACATTTTCTATATCTTCTTTTAGTTCTTACTATTTCTGGGCATTTATCTGCTGATAAATCAATATATATCATTGCAGGTTTTCTTTGATTAGATTTACATTTTATTTTATCAACCATAAAAGGATGTACTCTCTGTAGAACACTTAGATTAATAAACATAAAATAATTATTTTAAAATTCAAATAATCTAAAAATAAATAAAATCTTACTTTGATATGACTTAAAAAATTTCCAGTAGATTTTAAATTTCCATTTAAATGTTTTTGACATTGTAAACATCGAACTGTTACATTACTGTCTTCTACTCTAATTACAGTAAAGAATTCTCCATCAAGTATGGCGGGTAATCGAATTGGAGTAAGAGTCATACTTTGTTGAGTATTAGATTGTAACTGTGAGATTTGATTAGGTTGATCTTGTTGATGTTGCTGTTCAGATTCATGTTGTGGCTGATGTAAACTTGAAGTTTCATGATTTTCTTGATTCTCAACTTCAACTGTTTGAGAAGATGCCTGTCCATTGACTGTTTCAGATATTTCTCTCTGTTGATTTGCAGCATCAATCATGCATGTATCAAAACTTTGAATCTTTGTTTCATACCTTTGTGTAGAAAATGTATCCATGATTTTATAATTCATGCAAATTTACTCTAATATAAGAGTACATTAAATAAGAAATTCAACAATTTATACAAATTGTACATGAATAACTATTTAAATATCTAAAAAAAATAAGGAACCATTATTTGTACTGACAGTGAAGTAAAATACTATTATTAATCTTGCTTTCTTATTGAATTTCAGATAAGATGCTAGATAAGAATGTTACATATATAATAAATCTAGATCAGATAATAGATAAGAGAATATAGTATAGAACTACAATCTAAGAAAATTTCAGTAACTACCAACCAACCTTAGAAAATATGGCTACAATGACATAATATATAAATTACTTGTTGTGTAATATAATTATACAAAAATATTTTTACAATAACAAAGTGCTACATTTCTTGAAGTACTGCAGATATAATTATTTGAATTCAACAAGAGTTCACTATCTTGGAAATTATGGTAAGAATAAAGCATGTATGTATAAAATCAAATACTTGGCAGCACTGTGATAAATAAAGTTATCAATAAAATTTTATAACAATTTAAATAAATTTATATTTATACGTAAATAATGAATTTCTATTTTTTACCTAAATAATTAAAATTAAAAAGAAAAAAAAACATTACATGAAAAATATATTTTTTATATCTCAAAAAGTAAGCTCAAATAAAAATAATAAAAATAAGTTAAATAAATATTATTTTTTAAGAAATTAAATTTAGGAAAATTTTTATTCTTTTATTTATATTAATTTTACTTCATGTTTAATTAAAAATAAATAAATTAATAAAAATATTATTTAATTTTGAATTTAAAATAAAAAAGTCCATGCATATTATATATATATTTATCATTAATAAATTCTATATTTCACATTATTAAATATTACGTTAATAAGAAAACATTCAGTTAATCTTTATAATTTACAGGGTATTTTTGTAAAATAATGTTGTCAGCATTGATAATATTAGTTCATTATGTTGGAAATATGTAAGATGTTGAAAAATAAGTACTATTCATATTAGATGTGCATATTTTACGAACAATTTGTTTTTACTTGAACATATTTGATTATAATGATTTTTTATTATTACAAGTGTGTGTAATATAATATTTATTGAAAAAATAAAACATTTAATTACAATATAACAGAATTTAATAGTAAAACGAGATTACTTTTACAAAAATATGTCTCTATCTTCTGGAAAAATGAATGAGGCCAAAGAAAAACAAAATGAGTTGTTTTCAAAAAAAGATCTTGAAGAAGAAATACATAAATCAAATTCTTCTAAATCTAAAGAATTTTCTAAAAAACGAAAAAGAGAAAATGAAGCAGATGATACAACCTATTTAGAAACTAAACGCTCTCAAATTCGGAAGCATTCTCCAAATCCGAAATCATCTAAAAGTGAAAAATATGATATTGAAAAAAATGTAAATATAATTATTATATTATATATATGTTACAAATTCTTGAATCATTTTATTATTTAAATCATTTTTTAAATTTATATTATATTATTTATATTATAGAGTAATAATACTTCATCAGATTTATGTATCAATAACAGTGAAAAGATAAAAGAATCATCAAGCAAAAAAATACACAGTGATAATACATTATTAGTTGTAGAACATTATAATTCAGTAGAAAATAAATGTGCTGCTCTTAGAGATAAAAGCAGAATTTTATATATGAGGAATTTTAATAACTGGATAAAAAGCATGCTTATATGTAAGTTTTTAATTTATAAATAATTTTTTTATAACAGTTTTTGATTTGAAAAATTATTTACAGTTGAATATATTAATAAAACTCATGGACGTAATTTAAAAGTATTAGATATGTGTTGTGGTAAAGGAGGAGATTTATTTAAATGGAGAAAAATGAACGCAACACATTTAATTTGTACTGATTTAGCTGAAGTAACTATGCAACATTGTCAAGATCGATACAAAGAAATGTTAAAACGAAATTCTGAAGAAAAAAGATGTTCTCCTATATTCACTGCCGAATTTATAACAGCTGACTGTACAAAGGTATTTCTTTTATCTGTTTTATTAAACTTTCTAAAAAAGTAATTAAAAATAAGCTAATAAAAAATAAAAATTAATATTTTGAAATTATATATCCATATTTTATTAATGAATTAATAATGAATATTTTGTCAATGAAAATTAATTATAAAGAAAATTTTCAGGATCATTTAAGAAAAAAATTCAAAGATCCTAGTATATCACTTGATTTGGTTAGTTGTCAATTTGCATTTCATTATTGCTTTGAATCATTAGAACAAGCAGAATGTATGATTAAAAATGCAAGTGAATGTTTAAAACCAGGAGGTCATTTTATTGGAACTATTCCAGATGCATATGATTTAGTGTATGTTTGTTTTAATATGATAGAAATATTTTTAATTAAATTTATATAAAATATTAAAAAAATTTTTTTTTTTACTAGTTCTAGGTGGCAGAAATGTGATGGTGACAGCTTTGGAAATGATATTTATAATGTAAAATTTTTTTGTGATAAAACAAAACCACCACTTTTTGGTGCTAAATATCATTTTCAATTAGAAGGTCTTGTAAATTGTCCAGAATTTCTTGTTTATTTACCTGTATTTCGTAAATTAGCTTTAAAATTTGGTTTAAATTTAGTACTGTTTGAAAGGTAAAATATTTATCTTATATATATTTTATGTGTTTAATTATGTATAAAAAGAAAAGTTTATATTATATAATTATAGATTTGATAGTTTTTATGAACGTATGAAAAATGAAGGTAGAGCATTACTTACTAAAATACAAGCTTTGGAAACTTATCCACCTCGGAATGATGTATCTCTTGTTGGTAAATCTGAAGATTATCAACATATCAAAGAATATAATATGAAAGGTTCATCAATTGGTACTTTATCTCAATCAGAATGGGAGGTTACTTGTTAGTAAAAAATTACTTTATATGATTCAATAATTAAATATATTTATTAATATTTTATTATATATATAATAATATTAATTTATTTTGTTTTAGCATTATATGCTGTATTCGTTTTTCAAAAAATGAAAACTATGTAGACAATAAAATATAATAGTAAAGTAAAATCAGTAAAAATTAAAAAGTATAAAATATTACTTTCCTGGAATAAAATTATTCACTAATTTTATATTATATGAACTAGTCTGTTATATTTATAGAAATAGGAATATAATAATTACTATAGTACATAGTTATTCATTGATATTTAATATGATCTCTTTTAATAATTCAACAATG